TGTTAAGTTTTGAAATTTTAAATTAGAGAACGCTCTAAAATATTCTTAAAAAATTAATTGTAAAGAGAGGCCAACTATGGAGGACGCTAAGTGACGTAAATATTTTGGCCTATTAAACAAAAGAGAGTTAATATTGTTTTGATGTAATTGTTATTTATTTATTCTTATTTTTATGTATTTTATTTTATTTTGTTTTTATTTAATAAATTGATTAATTTATTTATTTTTAAAGGTCATGAGATAAACGTTTTATTTTAATTAAAAAATATGGTTATGCATGCGGGCTTGAGAAAGGAGCATTTCTTTTAAGAATGGAGATAGTTGAAAAAAATCCAGGGTGTAAGTTAATATCTTGGCGAGATACAATTATTACACTTTCAACAACATTTCGTCTAAGTTATTTTCTCTTTTACTTTTGAGATCGAAATTGTGATTTCAATTATTTCAGTGTAGGACTTCTATATTTCTTATTATTATAAAGTTATTTTTAGTGGGTACACGTATTGAGTTGATATCTCTGTTTTTTCCCCATCAGAGAAACTGTTCCTAAAGTGATAAAGTTTAAATTCCTGTCAATAAGCACATTTTTTTAGTAGGACTTCTCGATCTAGACTGGTTGCGATTAATTTAACTGTCTAATTAAATAAAAAAAGAAACAGGAATAGCATTAATCAAACCCACTAAAAAAATAAATAGAAATAATGTTGGATTAAAAATAATCCTATATATAATGGATTAAGTGCGAAATTATTTTGATATATTTTCTGTTTATACGGGATTTTTATAGATACAAATAACAGAGTCAAATTACTGTTTTAAACAACAATAATTTTACTGTTTAAAAAAAATGACGGTTCCGTGTAGAATACAGATTCGATTCCTGTCGCAGGACATATTTTCTATGAAATTTCTCGGACATTCAGGCCGTTAAATGTAGTTAATACTGTAACACAGAGAATTTGCTTAAATATTTTAATATTTTATCTATAAAAATAACGTATAAACAGAATATATATATATATATATATATATATAGGGACATCGTAATATTCACCTTCTTTGATCTTCAAAAGGCCTTTGACAAAGTCTCAAGACAAGCAATGTGGGCCACTCTTGCCCACTTTGACTGTCCGGATCGTTTCGTGTCTCTGATCTGTATGCTCCACAATGGAATGGAGGGCCTGGTGAACCATCAGTGTGTCCTCTTGAACACGTTTCCTATCACCGGTGGCCTTAAACAAAGCTGTGTGTTAACTCTGATATTCTTCTACCTGTACCTCTCCATCATGGTCAACGAGATTCCCACCCGGGCAACGCATGCGTTGACATCCGATACAGACTCGATGGTAGACTTTTCAACCTCGTCCGACTTCGTTCTCGAACAAATAACCTGCGTGCGAGAATTTCAGTATGCCGATGACGATGCAACTGCGGATCAGACTGCCATTAACCCCCAGAGATGCACAGACCTGTATAACGAGGCCTACAAACACTTCGGGATGCAGATAAATGTCAAAGACGAAGATCTTCATTCAGCCGGCTCCCGCACAAGCAACACTGGACGTCAGCATCAACATAGACAGACCACCGGTAGAAGTCGTCGACTTGGCAGCATCATTTCGAATAATGTCTCCTGCGGAACAGACATTGACAAAAGGATCAAATCAACTCATACTGCATACGTAACATTCTACCGGGTCTTCAACAATCACGGCCTCACCATGAGAACAAAAATCATGGCCTTACGGGCTGTGATCCTCTCCATTCTTCTGTACGTTTGTGAGACACGGTCCTTACATTAAAGCTCTGAAGTGGTTCCAGCAAACAAAGCTACGAAGAATCTATTGCATCAGTTGGAGGACCGCATCACCAACAACGAGTTCATCTCTTGGACGTCTCTCCCCAGCGTCGAGGCTACCATCCTTCGACATCACCTCCGTTGAGCGGGTGACGTGACCAGAATGCGTCCCACTCAACTCTCACGTATCATCCTGTTTGGAGAGCGCACCAGCGGTAGGCGGAGGCCCAAAATGATGCTTCATGGATCGGTTAAAGACATCTCAGACACAGGCCAACATCGATCCTGAGACCTGGGAAACTGTTGCGACAAATCAGGCTTCCTGGCGTAGGGGATCGAGACTTTCAAGTCCAACCATCAACATGCAAAGAACCTGCGACGTGCAATCACGAGGGCCTGACTCGCACAGACTCGTCCACTACCCACACTCTTCAGGAGTAATATGGGCCTTAACAGCCATCTCCACCACCGCCAACAGGGAAGGGAGAAAGGACACACACACACACACACACACATATATATATATATATATATATATTGTCATTTACAGACAGATTGTTTTGCTGTATAACAGCACATCAGTGTGGCTAGACATCCGATGGCCTTAAGCCAGGATCGAAACCCGACTGATTTTGCACCAGTCGGATATTTTCCTCTAAGCTATCAGCTCCCGGAAGAGATGAAGGTGAATTTTTAGGTATTTATTTTTGAATAAACTCGCGAGTTACTCAGAGTGCTCGATTCATAGAAGTAGTAATCACTGTTTACAAATTACCACTTTCCTCTAAAGTGCTCGACTGAATTTTATTTATTATTTTATACACACACACACACACACACACACACACACACACACACACATATATATATATATATATATATATATATAAAAGTGAACATTGATATATATATATATATATATATATATATATATATACAGTATCACAAAAAGTGAGTACACCTCACATTTCTTCAAATATTTAAGTATATCTCTTCGTGGGACAGCACTGAAAAAAATTACCTTTTGACACAATGAAAAGTAATCTGTCTGCAGCATATATAACAGAGTTAATTTCTTTTACCTCAAAATAACTCAAAATATAGCCATTAAAAGCACTTTATCCCATAAATATAGCATGCCTTAAGACTATATTTCTTTATATATATATATATATATATATATATATATATATATATATATATGCGCGTGTATGTGCACGCGCGTGTGAGTGTGCGCACGAGTCTATTCTGATAGGTAATATTTATTTTAACGAATCTTGCTATACGATTCTTGCCTGAAGTGCAAATTTTAAATGTTTTATGTTAATTGTGAATTTGTTGGAAAATGAGATTTCATAATTTGATGTTCTTTTATTTCTGGGAAGGAAAAACAGCCAAAAGGTAAATGCTATTTATGGCGATGCTGCTATAGATGAGAGTACAGTTCGTAAGTGATTCGCTAGGTTCAGAGGTGGTAATTCTGATCTAGAAGACCGAAAAGCCTGTAGTCGCTGATGATGAGCACGTCAAAGCGCCGATTAAAAATAATCCAGTTCACACGACACGGGACATCGCAAAGATACTCCATATATATCATATAAGCTTTGTAAGGCATTTGAAAACAATTGAATACGTGAATCACAGCGATGTTTGTGTGCCTCACGATTTAATGGAAAAAACCATTAATGAACAACATTTCTATATGCGATTTTTAGCTCAAACACAACAAAAAACGGCCCATTTTTGGAAAGAATGTTCGCAAGCGATGAAAAATTAATTGTTTACAACAGTGTGTCGCAAAAAAGAACCCGCGAAAAAACGTTTGTATCGCAAGAATATGATGCAGTGTATCTAGTGTGGGATTGGAAGGGTATTGTGTTTTACAAACTCCTTCCACAAGATCAGAGGTTGAATTTAGACAAACACTGTTCTCAGTTTGTACTGATTGAGCAATCGATGAAAAGAGTTTAGAATTAGCCAATAGTAAGGATGTCGTCTTTCATCAGGACAAGACGTCACGTCTCTTTGCAAACCCTGCAGAAATTAGTGCAGCTTGGCTGAGATGTGCGACTAAACTCATCATACTGATCTGAACTTCCACCTTTAGATTACGATTTCTTTCAATCCCTACAGAATTCTCTTAATGAGACGTACTTCATTTTTCTAGAATCTTGTAAAATCCACTTAGACCTATTCGTCAGCCAAAATGTCAAGTTCTGAGAGGATAGAATTATAAAGTTGCCTCAAAGATGAAAAAAGATAGTAGAACAAAATGTTACTTGTGCGATTGAATAAATCTATGTATAAATATCTAAATATTGTCCTCGAAATTTCCTTTTTAAAATGCAACGAATCTATGCATTTATAAGAAACTTAGTCTGGAAACTGTTGACAGGCGACAAGGAGAAGTGGCGATTATAGACAGACCCACATATTTCATTTTAAAAAAATCACGTGTTTAATAACTGGATATTATATTGCAAGCTGTTTTTTTTTATTTTATTTTGCAACAAATTTGCAATTAAAAGCAAAAAAACTTTTTTTTTTTTTAAAAAAAATACTTTCCAAATTTCCCTTTTTCCTTTCCAGTCATTCTATTTTCCTTTATCTTTCTTTCTTTGTCATTATATTTTCTTTCTTTCTTTCTTTCTTTCTTTCTTTCTTTCTTTCTTTCTTTCTTTCTTTCTTTCTCATGATATTTTCTTTCATTCATTCTTTCTTTCTTTCTTTCTTTCTTTCTCATTATATTTTCTTTCTTTCTTTCTTTCTTTGTCATTATATTTTCTTTCTTTCATTCTTTCTTTCTTTCTTTCTTTGTCATTATATTTTCTTTCTTTCTTTCTTTCTTTCTTTCTTATTATATTTTCTTTCTTTCATTCTTTCTTTCTTTCTTTCTTTGTCATTATATTTTCTTTCTTTCTTTCTTATTATATTTTCTTTCTTTCTTTCTTTCTTTCTCATTATATTTTCTTTCTTTCATTCTTTCTTTCTTTCTTTCTTTCTTTCTCATTATATTTTCTTTCTTTCATTCTTTCTTTCTTTCTTTCTTTCTCGTTATATTTTCTTTCTTTCTTTCTTTCTTTCTTTCTTTCTCATTATATTTTCTTTCTTTCTTTCTTTATTTCTTTCTTTCTTAATCATTATATTTTCTTTCTTTTTTAGTCATTTCCTTTTCTCTCTATCTTCCTTCTTTGTCATTTGA